AACGAAAAACCGAGACGAAGAGAAGAGGAGATGACAAGAAGACTGAAAAAAATAGAAACTCAAAGAAGAGAGAAAACCGGAGAAATGAGTGAACGGGACATTCTGGATCATATTCTTAACAGTGGAATATTGTGACAGATCGCTTCTTTCAGTTGAAGAGGAGGAATGAAACTTTGCTTTATGGCTTTCTTACATTCTCACTGGTGTTAGATCAAACCTTGTTTCGTGGTTGGTTCTACCATGAAGTGCAGTTTCTTGTTGCAGCTTCTGGTGCAATTTTTGGATTATTTACAATCAGTGTCCTTGTAAAGATTTCATGTGGTTGGAGAAAGATTCTTGAAGTGCTTCTTATATTAGGGCAGTTTGTGATAGAGAAGGTTATGGAAGCGGCTCAAGCTTCAACCACATTATCAGGTACCTTTCGTGGAGGCTACTTAATGCAACCTAAGGTATAATTTTGTTCCATTCTTCATAAGTCATCTTTTACATGCACAATTAGGTCATAGCTTTGATTTGGCTCTTTCTTATTTAAAATTTTGTAGTTCTTTCAAAATTTTATATACTTGCTTTATTCATTCAAATGATCATATTATTTTGGAAAAATAAGAGCATGCATATGTTTTCTATGGGACGATTGTTTATTCACAATAATTTTTAAGACATCAACTTGATTTTAATTTCCACGAAAAATAAATTAGGTGATTAATAATGGTGATAATATATGAATCCTGTTTGTTCTAATTGTCAGATGCTATAATCATGACTATCATTATTTCCTTTTGAAAGCCATATCTGAGCATAGGCCAATTTAAAAAAAAAATCTTATAGAATACATCCTTAAGTTAAAAGAGGGGGTGAAGTATCAAAATAGTTTCTTTCTCAGTTCCATTGAATGCTAAATTCATATGATACACTGGCCTGCAAATGCAAATATCTTGATTACCTATTTGTCGTGTGAGATTTTAAGAATCTCCATAAGCATTAGAATGATCCTCTATCATGTAAATCAATAAGATTCGTAGGTATGAGGATCAATCTTGTATATATTAATATGGGTTCCAAAGGCCCATTATTAAAATTAATTTCTTTTTATAATAAATATTTAAGTCTCATGTGAGATTTTAAGAATCTTCGAAGAGAATTAAATTAATTTTCTTATCGTGTAGGATAATAAATCCTCACAGATATCATGATTCACAATTTATATGGTAAATACATAAACAAATTTTTATAAATAAAATAATAAACATTTTTAAAATATTAATTAATTAATTAATTAAATTTAAATTATAATTATATCGTCTAATTAGATCTTTTGGGTCATGTGAAATTTGGAAATTCCATAGACCTTTAGGATAATCGTACTATCATGAGAGTCAATAAAGCTTCGCAGGTATAATGATTAAGATTTTTATATTTAAAAATATACATTGTATAATTACGCATTAAAATGTATTTAAAGTGATATATTATTTAATCCTTTTATTGTGTGAGACTTTAAATCTTTGTAAATATTTAAGATAATCTTTTATCATGTAAATCAATAAGGTTTTGCAGATATGAGGGTAAAACTTATATGTTAATATGGATTCAAAGGCCCATCATTAAATTTAACTCTCTTTTATAACCCAGATTAATAATTTATTAAGTCTCATGGAGATTTCAAGAATCTTCGTAGAGATTTAAATTAATCACATCATCGTAGGGATAATAAGTCCTCATAGATGTAGTGATTATTAATTTTTATAATAAATAAATGATTTTATAATAACCATATAATATAGAATTTAGAAAAATTAATTAATCAAATTAATGAATTTAAGTTGTAATCACATTACCAATTATATCTTTTAGTCATGTGAGATTTTTGAATCTCCATAGACTTCAAAGATAATCGTATTATCATATGAGTCAATAAGACTCTGCAGATATAATAATTAAGTTTTTAAAATACATATAAATTATATATTAAATCAATTAAATAAATTTAATTCATTTATCATGTGAGATTTTGGAATCTCTGTAGATATTTAGAATAATCATATTACCGTACAAGCTAATAAGGCTTTGTAGGTATGATGATTAAAATTCTTTAAAAACATGTACGTACATGCTTAAATAAATTATTTCTAGCACTTAAAAATATAAATGAATTAATTTGATAAACTCTTTTATCATGTGAGATTTCAAAATCTCGCAGATATTTAGAGCAATTGCATTACCGTATGAAACTAATAAAGTTCTGCAGGTATAGCAATTAAATTCCCAATCATAAAACATAAAAAAAAATTTTAAACTCTTTTCATTTCTTTATTTCAAAAATTCAAAAATTGAGAAAATAATCAAAATTAAATTACTTTTTGCAATTTAAAACACACATCAAAATTTCAGAAATTGTTTTATTTGTAAAATGGTGAATTATTTTTAATTAATTTCTCTTCAAAAAATATTTTCGCCAACAACCTTTTAAGCTCAAACTACGTGGACTTTGATTCTTATCACAGGGTACGTAGGCCTCAGAGTCAGATTCTGAGTCAAGTCCTTCCTCGTAAATAAATAAACATTTCTCACTTAATTCTTATCATTTTTGAAACACATGAATATAAAAGGGATAATTAAAATAATTATAAAACCATATTAAAAGAGCACAACCAATTTCAGGTAACTGTTCTGACGAACGGGTATTATGGGTGCCTAACACCTTCCCCATACTCAACCGACTCCCGAACCTATCTTCTATTTTCGTAGACCATCCTTATCCTCTTTTAATTGATTTCCCGATATTTTCCTCAAAATCTCAGTGGTAACTCCTCGTTCTGTCCGGTTCTCGTTGCAAAGGCCGGGACCTCTACTCGCATGCCGTCCACGTCACATTTTTCCAGGTGCGACATGTATTTTCTCATAACTCATGCCAATTGAGCATAGCATTTTTTTTACCTCATACATAGTCCTTGGAAGCTCATTGTTCGCAGGTAAAAGTTGTTTTATAAGTGTAAGATTTTTTGTAAAGCTCTTATCACTCCATCCGTTGCTCACTTTCAAGTTGTACAATTTCAACACTGCTAACAACTTTGTGAATTTGATGCAACCAGCGTACAAGGGCTTCTCTACATCACTTTTCAACATCTCTAACATTTTAGGACAATCCTCAAGTTCCTTTTCAATTGTATTGGCCATCTCTTCAAGACAATCACCCTTATAAGTATATGTGTCATAATCATTTGATTCAAAGCTTCCTTTATACTCCTAATTACTAGTAGACTCATCCTCTCTAGTCTCTCTATGCTCATGCCAATACTTGTAATTTTCATCAATTTCATAGCATATTAAATGGTCTTCCAACTCAGATGCACTAATTTGCTTCAAAAGACCACATCTTACACAAGGGCACACTATTCTTCTAGGGTCTTTTACATGCTCAAGAGCAAACCTCATAAACTCTTTTACACTATTCAAATACTCTTTACTTAATTGATTGGTAGGCATCTATTCTTTATGCATAACTTTTTAATCTAAAAGATAATTCATTCAAGGAAATGTGATTAGTGACTCATGGATATCGAGAGGAAAGGAATGATAGAAAGATTATCAATAAAGAAATTGACTACTCTACATATAATATAGAGTAATTAATGAATCATGAGTCACAATGTATGAGCATTCACATACTCCTTCAACCGCTGAAAAAATTCGACAGCATGACGGCATAAAGAACGTATTTCTCAAGTTAAAACCCTCTTTTCAATCCTGGCATCTCACTCAACAAACTAATTTTAACCATATATAATCACAAAACCAACAAAATTCTCACAAAATAGCATTTTTAAATTAACGCTAATTATTATAAAATTATATCTAAAATTTTCAAAAATCATAGAAAAAAGAAAAACACTATAAACATCATTTTGAATCAATGTTTTCTATCTCATTGATCATTCTAAGGTTACACATATCCTATATTAGCAATCCTAAGCCAAGAACAAATCATTCTTTACCAAATGTAAAAATATCAATAAAATAGCAATGATTTTTAGAGAAACCGTGCGTCAGTTTTGGTCACTAAAATAAAATTCAATTGTAATAAAAATTGATACACTAGTACATTTCAGTATGTAGTTTTGAATTATAAAACTACACTGATCAAACAATGTATGAAATTTAAATTAAAAATTATTGAAATAAATCAGTCAAAATTGATAGAAAAATACAATCATCATAAATATCCCATTTTGATCACTAATTTTCATCTTAATAATCATCCTAAGGCTAAGTATATCATCTACTACCATTCTCAAGTCAATAAAACATCAAACATTAACAATTTTCAACACCCCACAATATCAAAATGGGCAACAAATGAGAAAAAATTTAAATAACAAAAATCAACTAATAAAACAATCCATAACATTAAATAAATCAATCCCATAATCTAGAAATATAAGGATATTGGAAGAAAATGAAGAAAAACCATTGAAATCACACAACCATGTACCTTGGAGAAGAGAGGATGAAACATAAAGAGGAAGCAAATGAGAGGGGTAACGGACGGCTATGATGGAGGTACTTTCACGTCGGAGAGGACTAAGGTAGTCGACGGCAACAATGGAGGATGATTGAGAGATTTCTACCGATTTCATGTGCAAGTAGAGAACAAAGAATACCGAGAAGACGAACGAGCGGGAATGAAAAATGAGACTGAAAACTGAATAGAAAAGGGAATAAATAACAGGTATTCACGGACAGCTATGGTAGAGGCACTTTCACGTCAGAGAGGACTAAGGTGGCCGATGGCAACAATGGAGGAAGATTGAGAGATTTTTACCGATTTCATGTGCAAATGGAGAAGAGAGAATATCGAGAAGACGAATGGATGAGAATGAAAAATGAGATCGAAAATTGAATAAAAAAGGAAATAAATGATGGGTATTCTAATACCCATCATTTATTCCATAATATATGATGGGTGTTTAAAACACCCGTCATATATCATGAGAACTTTAACTTATGGTTGTTTGAAACAACCATCATTTAAAGTTTAAAATTTTTTATTTTTTTCTTTTAAGAAACTAAAACGTTGGCCAACAATATATGATGGGTGTTTAAAACACCCGTCATATATTGTTCACACTTTAAATGACGAGTGTTTGAAACACCCGTCATTTAAAGTTTTAAAATTTTTTATTTTTTTTATTATAAGAAACTAAAACGGTGGGCAACAATATATGACGATTGTTTGTGTACCTGTCATATATTGTTAAACTTTAAATGAAGGGTATTTTAATACCCGTCATTTAAAGTCCAATTTTATTTTTTATTTTTTCCATCCAGTAAATAAAACATTGGGCTGAAATAAATAACGAGTTTTTTAAATACCTGTCATTTAAAGTCTAACAATAAATGATGGATGTTTAAAC